AAAAAAAAAAAAAAAAAAGAAGTTAACTGATGACTCCATACTGAACCTCAGAGTCAAAGCATTCTATGATAGACATACTTTTATCTGACAATGCAAAAGTTACTTTTTTTGCATTATTATTATTATTGCTCAATATTTCATTGCAGCAATCATCTGATTTCTTTTCCGAATGTATGTGTCTTCATTCGTTCTTCATAAGGTTTTTGTTTCTAGTCCTTATCTTAAACATTGTTCTTGTTATTAAATTTTAAGCCTCTTTAATTTTGTGAAGGCAAAAAGTGGAAACCAAATAAACATGTGTACATGTATAGAGAAAACTGAAAGAAATAAAAATAAAAATAAAAACTAATCCTAGGGAGTGGTTATGATGTAATCTCTGTAATGTCATTTCTACTAACAGTTCACATAAATAGAATGTTTTAGTCCTATTTTAAAAAAGAGAAAATGTGGCTCAGCACCTGTGGCTCAAGTGGCTAAGGCACCAGCCACATACACCTAAGGTGGTGGGTTCGAATCCACCCGGGCCCGCCAAACAACAATGACAGCTGCAACCAAAAAATAGCCTGGCGCTGTGGCGGGCACCTATGGTCCCAGCTACATGGGAGGCAGAGGCAAGAGACGTGCTTGAGCCCAAGAGTTGAAGGTTGCTGTGAGCTGTGATGCCACGGCCCTCTACCCAGGGGAATAGCTTGAGGCTCTGTCTCAAAAAACAAAAAAAAAGAGAAAATATATTTCATCTGTTCTAAAATACATTTTTCAGTAGGGTGTGGTGGCTCATGCCTACAGTTCCAGCTGCTTGGGAGATGGAGGCAGGAGGATCACTTAAGCCCAGAAGTTTGAAGTTGCAGAGAACTGTGATAATGTCATTGCACTGTAGCCTGAGTAAGACCCTATCTCCAAACAAAACAAAACCCAGCAGGAGTTTAAAAAAAAAAAATTCTCCTGGTTCAAATTTTAACTTTAGACCTGATGCAATAAGGCACAACTACAGATTTGGAATTCCAAAGCACAAGTTTACACCAGAGTTGATGTCACTAACTTAAGGAAAATAATCTAATGGGCCTTTTGGTGAATGAAGTAAGGTTCCTGGAGCAGGCTCAGAGCCCGTAGCACAGTGGTTATGGCATCAGCCACTCACACGGAGGATGGTGAGTTCAAACCCAGCCAGGACCAGCTGGGTTTGAACCACAATGACAACTACAACAAAAAAATAGCCAGGTCTGGGTTGTGCCTATGGCTTAGTGGGTAGGGCGGCCAGCCCCATATACCCAGGGTGGTGGGTTCGAACCCAGCCCCAGCCAAACTGTAACAAAAAAAAATAGCCGGGCATTTTGGCAGATGCCTATAGTTCCAGCTACTTGGGAGGCTGAGGCAAGAGAATCACTTAAGCCCAGAAGTTGGAGATTGCTATGAGCTGTGAGTGACGCCACAGCACTCTACCGAGGGCAATAAAGTGAGACTCTGTCTCAAAAAAAAAAAAAAAGCCAGGTGTTTTGGTGGGTGCCTGTAGTCCCAGCAACTTGGGAGGCTGAGGCATGAGAATCACTTAAGCCCAGGAGTTTGAGGTTGCTGTGAGCTGTGATGCCACAGCACTCTATCCAGGGCAACACAGTGAGACTCTGTCTCAAAAAAAAGGTTCTGGAGCAGAGCCTTAATCAATGCAGAAAGACAAAGAAAGAACTGAATTCCTCTACAGGATGAAGAAAGATGAAATTTGAGATCTTCTAGACCCCTGGAAGGGAGGGGTAAGAGACCTGAGTAAGAAATGTTTGAAAGGTGTGAAGAAAGGCACCCAACACCATGGCAGGAAGCTGGGCCTTCAGAAGAAAGAGTGGCCTGTGACCAATTCCAAGATAAATTGTCATTTGTTGAAAGCAGTGCTCTAATGTCTCTCAAAATCAGAGTGGAGGTTAACTATACACTCTGCCCTGTGTTTGGTTACCATGCAAATATACATCATGGATCTAAATGAATGAAATGTAGTCTACGGCATTTACCAAACCCATCTGTGCCATGAAACTCTGTCTCACAAAGAGTTAAGAGTCA